TTTTCACATATGCAAAAGTAAGTTAAATGAGATTTGCAACTTTATGTTGGAGCTTACTACAGAGCCAGGACATTGGCATTTGCAGCTGCTGGCCTTGTTTATCATCATTGCGACTGGCATGTACCAGCTCTACATGGGCAATGTGAAGTACTTCAATTTCGATAATAGCGATACGCGAGTCACATCCCTGGCGCTGTCCTTCTACTCGGGCCTGTTCGCCTACAATGGCTGGTAAGCGTTAAGCGGCTTTGCTCTGTGCTCTGTCTGTCGCTTGGTTTGTTCTGGTTGCTCTAATTGGATTTGCGCTTGCTTGCTCGCTGACAGGAATTACTTGAACTTCATCATTGAGGAACTGAAGGATCCCGTCAAGAATCTACCACGCGCCATTGCCATCAGCTGCACGCTTGTCACCGTCGTCTACGTCATGGCCAATGTGTCCTTCTACACCATCTTGTCGCCGGAAGAGGTCCTCGGGTCCTCTGCGGTGGCTGTCACCTATGCGGAGCGCGCATTTGGCATGCTGGCCTGGACCATACCAGGTGAGTGTTGTTTAGCCAAAGAATGCCATTTAGTCAGCGTATGTTAAATATTTTCTTTAAATTCCTTTCCAGTTTTTGTGGCATTGTCCACATTCGGTGCCGTCAACGGCATTTTGCTCACCTCCTCGCGCCTGTTCTACGCGGGTGCAAATGAGGGGCAGATGCCGGAGATTTTAACCATGATTCAAATTCAACGCTTCACGCCCACGCCCGCTGTGCTGGCCATGGCTCTGCTGTCCATGCTATATCTTACGGTTTCCGACATCTTTGCGCTCATCAACTACGTGGGCTTCGCGACTTGGGTGAGTTTCGTTGGACTATTTAATTTGATTTGTCTGACATTTAATTTGCTTTTACCCAACAGCTGAGCATTGGCGTTGCGGTTCTCTGCCTGCCCTGGCTGCGCTGGGCTCAACCCAACTTGCCACGCCCCATACGCGTGCCCCTCGTATTCCCCATTGTATACCTAATTGCCACCATCTTCGTCACTGTCGTGCCCATGTATGCCAGTCCCGTGGAGACTGGCTACGGCATACTCATGATACTGTCGAGCATACCCGTCTACTTGGTCTTCATTGCCTGGAAGAGTAAGCCAATATGGTTCCAGAAATCGATGGGTAAGTTGAGAAGTGGGTCAGCCTGTGGCACACCTGTCTATACATGGATCAGCTTCTTATCCTCCTCGTGAGCTCACCTATAAAACGAAACTATTTTGCAATTCTGTTTCATATATGATTTACGCTGTGCTCCTCCCGTACCTTGCAATTCTTCTAGGCGGAATCACACAAGTACTGCAAAAACTGATGATGGTTGTGCGTCCCAAAGCGGCGTCAAAGGTTTTTAAGTTTGCTCCTTATCCTAGTTTTCCTAAGTTTGTTTTTCAACGATAACAACTAACCAATACTCATCCTGCCTGCCTGCATTTATCACACTAATTACTAACAATCGGGCCTTGGGCCCGCTTCCATGTTTCCTTAGCACTCTTAAACGTGTGTGGATAACCACTTGGTTGTTCACTGTAGCGCACTCAAGTAGAACTTAGTGGCTCTCAAGTGCTCAACTAATGCAAGCCACGTTCTTTTAATTTACAGTAAGCCTCACACACTTCCTGCAAAAGCTGCTCATGGTACTCGGCAAGCAGACGAAACCAGCTCAGGTGTAGAGATTAGCGAGTGGATGGATGGTTGCAATGATGGTGGGTGGATGGTGGGGCCATTATTGCCAGAGACTACGCTGAAATTATTCTAAGCAGATGGAGGAGACATCACGTTAGCCAACAGCAAATGATAGCATTTAATATATAATGAAAAAAGTATAAAAAAAAATGGAAATTGAAAAAAATCAAAAACAAATATATAATAATAATAATAATAATATAGCTTCTGTGCAGCCAGGCAATAACGAGTAAAAGTAAACCAGATTCCAAGGCTCGGTGCGCTTCGATACACAATTCTCAACCTGAAAGCGTGACCAGCTCCAGCAACATAACTACGAATAGATATATTTTTATATATGTTTTAAGCTTACACACCTAAGCCCCATGCAGCGCGTTTCATTGTTTCAGCATACACAGATTTCAGCAAACACAAAGCTTTGGCTCCACTTGGAGAATACTGTAAAAATGAAGAGAAACAAATGGAAAATACAAGGGAAACTCTAAATTTCAAATTGTCCAAAGCTTTATGTAGCTCGAAGTACAAATATATATTCTCAGTTGGTTTTCAGGCATACGAAGATCTATTAAATACGAAAAGCATAATACATATATATTAATAAGAGTCTATAATTCAATTCATTCATTAAGCATCAATAATGTTTAACTCGCATTTAATTTGTGATTGTATTTCGGCAGCGCTTTTAGGAATGTTGATTAAAATAGTTTAGAAATTAGTTCGACATAGTTTGACATACTCAGAAACATTTTTCGCATATTAAGTTTAAGTTTAAGTATTCTTTAAGTTCACTGTGTTTCTATTCGGTCTGCCGACTGCCAACTATATGTATGTTAGTTACAAAATAAAAATCTATCGAAACCCAGATGAAACCCAGTGACCTTTGACCCCAACTACAGTAGAGTTGCATTGCAAGTCGCACATATCCTAAACTAACAAATTGTTCAAAACATTGCCAAGACACGAGAAACCATACATATTTAAAGAAATATTTAATTGAATTGTTAATTGAAATCTATTCTGCATGTAATAATTGTTTGAATGTTGCTTTCAATGTTTTTAGCATTAAATGAAATAATAGCGGAGTATAGCCCATATATAAGCATATATATATATATATACAGGTATTAATATATATATGTGTGTGTATTTAATATCGAATTATGTAACTGTTACACATTGTATTTGGCACATTTAACCAACTGTTTGTGTTAGCCGGAAGCCGCAGCTGCAGTCGCTGCTCAACTAAAACTACGATTATGGAACATATTGTTGACAATAATATTTCAATTTATATAAATGTGTATATACATATATGAATTATATATAAATTGTATTTTATGTATATTATATATTATACGTATACCCGTTGAAATCAAACTATTCTCTTGTGTCTTTTATCAATAACAAAACCATATTTATATATTTTACTTCAAGTTCTAAAGGAAGTGACGAATGGAACAATCTATTGCCAAAGTTTTACAAATTTGGTGTAGTTAGGTTAGGTTTGCGACACTTTTGACTGATTGCTGTTTGAGTAGTCCATTATTGCGAATATATCTGCCTGGGCAGTGAACAGATAACAGTGATCTACAAAAAGGAAGAAAGGCCCAGAACTCTGATCAATCTATATTCGACTTCTGTGCTCTCTTAAATTTGTTATCTCCTGTTGCTGTAACGCCTCCTCAGCATTGAGAAGCTCGTAGTTCTTGGTACTCATGTATGTTGTCAAGGTGGGCGAGAACTGGCATCTTTTCACCTCTCGTTCGAGCTGCCGAAATTGTTTGAGTGCCTCTGCATAGTTGGCAGCCGCCGCCAGATCCCTGCTGCTGTTCTTCATCAGCACACCGTGGGCATCGCCGCCGCTCTTGTCATTGAGGATCCGGTAGGAGTTTAGCTGTTTACACATTTTCAAAAACTTCTGGCGATACTGCACATTGTAATGGCGCTCCATGCAGAGCTTCACCTCCAAAAACTTCGAGTCGATTCGATGGTACCAAAAGGCCAATTTGCTATAGTCCTCATGGGAGAGGTTCAACGGACGCGCACGGAAGGGTATGTTGATCAAGCCAGAGGGTTGCCTGCACGATTCCATTGAAAGACTGCTGCTGCTGGTGCTGCTCACCTTGGTTATTATCTTTGAATCGATGACCTTGGGCGTATCGCTGTTCTCGTGGCTGGCACCAATGCTCGAGTAGACCAAGTTCGCCAGGTTTAGGAACTTGTGTATCTCGCATGTGGACTCCTTGTCCAATGGCATCTCGCACGTAATTAGGGTGCGCGTGGGTCGCTTCGGATCGAACGACTCCTTGATGCAATCGGTAAGCAGCGTGCTCTTACTGCGCCTGCCTTCCGAGAGTGCCTTGAAAAAGTCGTGTATGTCCGTGCGATCGGTGCAGTCAAAGATATGATAGATCGACAGGAATAGCTGGTGTGACTTATTGACGCCATCGGCGAGAAGAAACTCCACATTGATGTGATCGTCGCCAGTGCCGCGCGCACGCAGCACAGCATATTCGTTATGCAGCCATTGGAACATCTCACGCGTCGTCTGCATCGTTCGTTTGCTGGTCTGTGCCCTGCCTCGATGAGAGCTTAAAAGCATGTTGACCATATCGAATTTGCGTACATCATAATATTCCACATTGATGCTAAGCAGCTGGTAAGGCAGCTTGGCCAGTATCTTGTCCAAGTCGGAGACCAGCAGATGCGTCAGCAGCTTAACGTTGTGCGAGCGACGAGGAGTCAGCCTTAGCAAACAGCCGGGACGCTGCTGCCGAATCATCTGCTCCAGCAGATCGCTCAGTTCACTCCGCATATGCCGCTCGTCCTCATAGCCCACAGCGTCGAACTGAAGCTGATGATAGTAGCGTGCCGACTTGCCCGTTTCCGTACCGTTCCGCGAGCGCAGCAGCAATGTGGTCTTGTCCATCAGCTTGACATCGCTATCGATCGGCGTATTCTTGTTGCTGCTAGATAGCTTGTGCATTGTGTCTGTCAGAGACACGATAACGCGATGGACCTTGTCACCCATTTCGATATGAAACGTTCCTGTACTTATTTTTACAATTTTTTTTTTATTTTTTTTTTTTTTTTAGAGAGAATGTATTGCTTACGGAGAAAATTTTGATTAATGTTCGTAAATTGATGTGAAAACTGCTTTTGATTTGGAGAACTACAACTAAGTTCACATGGAAGTTTGAAAGAAATTATTAAAGAAGCGTTTTCAATGCAATTTGTATCTCAGTGTTTTATAATTTTATAATATAGGTTGCCTATAAGCGTATACATAATTGGCATAGGAAACATATTAGTTGCGAGCAACGTTCCCTACTAGGTTCCTCAAGTGACTAAGTTTCGTCTCGGATGCACACAAGGTAGCGTACAAATCGTTGCGGTCTTTTAACATCTTGCATTGAGTATGGCTTAGTTGCTGTTCCTGCTGTATATACGTTAGCAATTGATCATGGAGTGATTGGAAACGATCGTTAATTTCCTGGTGGCAAACCTTCAACTCTTTTATTAATATCATAGCATCGTTTTTGGGCGAATTAGCTGCCGGAGTAATGTTGAGCTGGTAATGGGGAATGGGAGAGCATTTAGTGCTGATTATGATTGGCAATACATTCGATTTACTCACAGCTTCTATGCGGTCCTGAGTAGAGTCTTGTTTTCTATAGGCTAGGTGCGCTAAGCCAAGCAGCTGCACATTTTTGCAATTCACCTGAGAGCCAGTGACCAGCACATGGCACAACAAGAGCATATACAAAGGCTTATTGCTGTTCTCCTCAGTCGCCTGACGTATGTACGTTGTCAACTCTGTGACTGAAAGGGCGGCCGTGAGAGGGTCATGGCTTAAATAGCAGCGCAGACCGCACAGAGTTCCAATGCACATCTCTTCTATGGCTACGAGCAGAACGTGGAAGTTGACTTTAAAGCGAGTTCCGTGCCGCTTACTGGCAACCACATATTGGACTTCCAGTGCCTCATGGCCCATGGCGACGGCAGTGCGCATGCGATACTCATTTAGCAGCCAACCCATCAAATGTTTGATGTCACAGAAATTGCATTGTGTGTCCAGGCCATTGGGACTGGCTCCTTCAACTAGCTGCTTGTAGCGAATAGAGCAACTTTCTAGCTGCAAGGCTTCCTGTTGAAGCTTCACATTGACTTGAATGATGAGCGCGTCGACGAGAAACATCAGATGATAGCCACGCTCAGCAGCTAAATGCATAAGTAGGCAATCTTTACGATCCATGAATAGGGTGTGAAGTAGTGTGCTTATCTCACGCTCTCTGTGTTCATCATTTTTTTGAGAAGAGAGCGCATCAAAGTGCAGTTTCTGTGCCACAAACACTTGAGGTTTGCCCGAATCTTGACTGCACAAGAGTCGCAAAGTTTTATCATTCAACACGCTTACTTCGCCGCCATATTGGAAGAATTCTTTTTTCTCCGCACCATTTGATTGTTTTTCATTTGGTGTTTGATTGAGGTACACTATAACTCGTGTTTGTACCATTTTCACATAAATAAATTCACTAAAGACACAATAAAAATAACAAAATAAAAAAAATTGCGAAAATATAAATTGTCGCAGACAAAACACCGTTACACTGTCAAGATACCAGAGTGACCGTATTTTAATTTTTTTAAATACTCAAAAATGTTATGCACCAAGTATCGATGTTGCTGGAAAGTCTATGTTATGTGGCAAACAAGTAATGTTAAGTGTTATACAGCTGGTTAACTACGCACACACAAGACGCGAGTGAAAACTTTTAATGAAAAGAGCAACAAGTTGCCATTTTTACGCAATTAAACCACCTTTACCAACAATCAGCATTAACTTGGCACACTTTGGATGTAAAGGCAAGCTTAGAAGCGATGCAGAAGCTGGCCAACAATGAAACAGCTGCTATCGCAGAAAAAATACACCGGCTGCAACATTCATAACAAAAAACAGACGCACACATGCACATGTAAATACACCTACACCGACGGGGAGACTCCAGTATTTTTTTATTCACACTGCAACCGCAAAGGCCTGAACTTTTTTTTATTGAGATTTGATGAACAAGTTTACAGTTAAATGGCAGCGAAGGAATCATTTCGCGAACGACAAACACAGGAATTGGAGGTTATAAAAGTAAGTTTCATTTATACAAACCCTATTGTAATATGATGAAATAATCGCCGGCCATTTCCAGTCCATATTCGGCGGCGATGTGGAAGACTTAAGGCCTCAGAGCAATGCGTCGCAGTGGAAGCCAACGGACATACGCATACTCCTAACTCCATTGCGAGACTCTTCTAATGGCCTTCCACAGGCCTATGTCTGCACCAAGCTCCACGTGACATGTCCATCCAAATATCCAAAGGTGTAAGTTGAGTTTTATCACCCGGTTAATTTTAATTTACTAATCTGATATATATTGCTGGTAGTGCGCCCAAAATAGTGCTGGAGGAGTCCAAAGGCATATCGGATCAGCTATTGGAGGCACTGCTCGCCCAGCTGCAGGCGCAATCACAGGAGCTGCTGGGCGAGGTCATGATTTACGAGCTGGCGCAGACGGTTCGAGATTTTCTGCTGCAGCACAACAAACCACCGAAGGGCTCATTCTATGACGAAATGCTGCAGGCCAAGCAAAAGCGTGAGCAGGAGGAAAAGGACTTGCAAAGGCAAAAGGAAACCATAGAGCGGCAAACTCTTATGGATGAGGTGGAGCGTCGTAAAGAAATATTTAAAACGGAGGCCAAGCGACGCGGCGAACCAAGACGCAGTATGAGCGAGTCCAACAATCGTCATCCCAGCTCTTCGGAAAGCTCTGAAAACTCCTCGCCCTACTATCGCGGCTATACATATCCCAACAAGTGCCTGGACCATCGAAATACAGAAATGCTCTCCTTTTACAAGGTGGGCCGACAAATTCAACGTGCCTGCTGCTTGGGTAAGTATTACCACTACTATCAACTGGACATGAAGATGACCCTTTCGCACTTTTAGGTCATTCGCAGCGTGGTTGTATTGCCTACACCGGCGTTGATGTGCATTCTGGCCAGCTGCTGTACCTTACCGAGTGGAACATCAAGTATTCACAGATAGAGCAGCCATGCAGTGCTAATGGGAAATGCCACTGGAGCTCCGAGTCCAAGTGCTTGGGTAATCATCGAGTGGATGAACTTATATCCTCCATAGAGAAACAGGTGGCAGCTCTGGCACAGTTGCAACACAAGAATCTCATTCAATACGAATGTGTGCTCTGCATCAAACGTAAGGAGGGCTTACTGGTCTATCTGGTGCAGGACTTTCTGCTTGGCACAAGTGTTTATAGCATATCCTCTACGCTGGGCTGGTGCATGGATGGTGCACGCATGGTGGCACGTGGAGTATTGGAAGCCCTGGTATTCCTGCACAACAAGGGTGTCTCCCACAGCCATTTGCTTGACAGCACAGTATTCATGGACAATGCTGGAAACATACGTTGCACTGACTTTTCGTTGGTTCCCAACTTGCTGGAGCTGATTGGAGGCATCGACCAAGGCAGCAATCGTGGCGATTTGCCAGCATTAGGTGCACTCGTTGAGGCACTGATGCCCACCCATAGCTGTGAGATGCGTGATTTCGTCGATAAGTAAGTTAAGCTCAAGTAAACGACCAAGTAGATATTTTTAGTAACATTTCAAACTATTCTAGGTGCAATTCGGATCGTACCTTGTCTGCCTCTGAGCTACTGGAGCATCCTTTTCTACGTACCTACGTGGATAACGCACAGCAACACCTGACGCTGCAGCACACGCAGAATCGTACCTCTCTGTTGCCCAGATCCGAACAAGCTGTGGCCGTGCAACGTGGTGTGGTGCCCTTTCAAATACCCACCTTAGCGCTGAGCCAGTCTCGACTGCGCACCGAGTTCGAGGTGCTCATGTATTTGGGCAAAGGCGCCTTTGGGGATGTGCTAAAGGTTCGCAATATACTGGACAATCGGGAGTATGCCATAAAACGTATACCGCTGCCCGCTCGCAGTCGCCAGCTGTACAAGAAGATGACTCGCGAGGTGGAGCTACTATCGCGCCTAAATCATGAGAATGTGGTGCGATATTTCAACAGCTGGATTGAAAGTGTGAGCGATGCAGATGCTGCTGAATTGGACAAAATGCTGGGTGGCGATTGGTCGCAGAGTCAGGAGCTAAGCACAAAGCCTGCAAAATCACCGCAGCTTGGGATGACCGTGGAAGAGGAAGAGACAGAGAGCTCGTCGAGCATGTGGAATGGTTACATGTAAATAGTTGGTCCTGAAGCACATTGAATTATTTACAATATATTTGATATTTTATGGCAGAGCCAATATGGATGACTCCGACTCGGATGGCATTGAGTTTGTTGATTCAAATGGCAAAGTAGCCGTTTACGACAACGACGATGAGAGTGAAGATACCGAGAAAGATGATGCACTGCAGCACAATCCCGGCAATTCGCCGCGCCCACAGATGCAAGTAATGTATATTCAAATGGAGTTCTGTGAGAAATGCACCCTACGGTTAGCTAAAAGAATACATTCCTTCGAAAACCTGTATTGAAACGAATCCTTTTTTTAGCACTGCCATCGACGATAATCTCTATGAGAATACAGATCGGCTGTGGCGCTTGTTTCGAGAGATTGCCGAGGGCCTGTCGCACATACATCAACAAGGCATTATACATCGGGACCTGAAGCCGGTCAACATATTCTTAGACTCGCATGATCAAATCAAAATCGGCGACTTTGGTCTGGCTACCACGAGCTTTCTAGCGCTACAGGCGCATGGTATGTGAGCACGTTTAACTATATATCAGTATGAATGATGATACGCTGTTTTTAGCCGAGTATCCGTCGCATTCAACCGTTCAGCATGTTACCTCGACTGAGGAAGGCACCGGCACGGGTAAAGTAGGCACTACGCTTTATGTGGCACCAGAGCTGACGGGCAATGCCTCCAAGTCCGTGTACAATCAAAAGGTAGACATGTACACGCTAGGCATTATACTGTTCGAAATGTGCCAGCCGCCCTTTGACACAAGCATGGAACGCGCACAGACAATAATGGCTTTAAGAAGTCCGTCCATAGTAATACCGAAGAGCATGTTGCAGGATGCGAAATACGAGAAGACGGTCAAGGTGAGATATAGACGTAAATCTTATGGAAAAATTATATAATTTCTATTATCAGATGTTGCGCTGGTTGCTAAACCACGATCCTGCTCAACGACCAACAGCCGAGGAGCTGCTTGTCTCGGACCTGATGCCTCCTGCTGAGCTAGAGGCTAATGAGTTGCAGGAGATGCTGCGGCATGCCTTGGCCAATCCACAGAGCAAAGCCTACAAGAATCTTGTCGCGCGCTGTCTGCAACAGGAAAGCGACGCAGTACTGGAGCACACCTACCATCTAAGCAGTAGCCGTGCTATGAAATCATGGAACTCGGCCATCGTTATTGATGACATAGTTTCGCTCAATCCGCTCATCGAATTTGTCAAGGCTAAGGTAGTCAATGTGTTCCGCAAACACGGCGCCATTGAGGTAGACTCGCCATTACTGTCACCGTTATCTTCGCGCAACAGCCACTCCAGTGCCAATAGCAACGCAGTTCATCTCATGACCCACTCTGGTTCGGTGGTGCTATTGCCCACCGATTTGCGTACCCAATTCGCGCGGCACGTGACCATGAATGGGGTGAATCTCATACGTCGCTACTGCGTGGACCGAGTTTATCGGGAGGAGCGCGTCTTCAATTTTCATCCGAAACAGAATTACGAATGCTGCTTCGATATCATAACCCCTAGCACAAGTAGCCAGCTGGTGGATGCGGAGCTGCTCTCACTGGCATTCGAAATAATCAACGAGCTGCCCCGACTGCGCGAGCGAAACATCGCCATACGAATGAATCATACGAACTTGCTGCGCTCTATTCTAATATTTTGCAATGTGCCCAAGTCGCAGTACAGCGCACTCTTCGAAGGACTGCTGGACTTCATTGAGGGGCGTATTTCACGCTTTCAGTTTCATTCAAGCATCACGGCGATCATGGAAAAGTCACGTACTTCGGCACAGACACTGATGGACATGATGCTAGCAAACTTTCTGCTCACCGGCTCCAGGAGCAGCGTGGATGAATCTGCCTTGAAATCACTGATGCGCGGCAAGGGTGAAGCTGCTTCCTTGGCACGTGGCGCTTTACGCGAACTGGAAACCGTAATTGGACTAGCTTACAGTCTCGGCGTGACGGTGAGTATTTCCTTGACCTGGCGTGAGTGTGAATTTTTACGATTATCATTGCTTATCCACAGTGTCCGATAAACATTTGGGCTGGGCTGCCTATTAACTTTGATAGTGCCAGTACCGGTGGCATTGTCTGGCAAATGACCGCTGACCTCAAACCAAATCGTTCCGGACAGCCCTCTGTGCTGGCCATGGGCCAGCGCTATGATGCCATGCTGCATGACTTTCAAAAACAGGCGCAGAGCTTCAATGCTGCGCTGCCGACGCGTGGCATGCTCAGCGGCGCGGGACTCACCTTGTCTCTGGATAAACTAGTTGCTGCCGTGGGTAAGGAGTATGCCAAAGACTGTCGTGCCATCGATATTGGTATTTGCGTGTGTGGCACACGGCCCCCGCTCAAGGATGTCACCTACATTATGCGTCTACTCTGGTCCGTGGGCATACGTTGCGGCATCGTGGAGACCGTCGGTAGTGGCGGTGATGAGGCGCAGGACTTGTCACGTCTGGGTGCGCTGCATGTCATTTTGGTCGCAGAGAACGGGGCATTGCGTGTGCGTTCCTTTGAGCGTGATCGCTTCCAGGAGCGCCATCTGACTCGTGCGGAGCTGGTCGAGTTCATACAGAAAATGCAGCGCAGCGAGGCCATCAATGGCGGGACGGTTGGCGGTGGTCCAGACTATACCAGTCAGCTGTCCAGCATGAGCAGCAGTGGCGGCGGCAGCGGACGTGGTGAGAGTGGCGTCAGCTTGTCAGCGTCCAATGTGAGTATCAAAAACAGCTACAGCCAACTGCCGTCTGTGCAGGTAACATTCCTCACCCACGACAAGCCCACGGCCAACTATCGAAGGCGTTTGGAAAATCAGGTGGCGCAGCAAATGAGCTCAACGCTGTCGCAGTTCATCAAAAAGGAATCTTTTGAGGTGCTGGTGGTGGAGCTTCCACCAGCAGTGGTAAATGCCATAGTCGGTGCCATCAATCCCCGAGTGCTGCGCAAAAAAGAGACTGAACCCGAAATGACTTTTGTGATCGAAAGGTGAGATATCATCTGATGATTACTATGATGACTATGATTCGGCAGTATTAATCAGCATATTTTTATTTCCAGATTTCCGAAATACAAACGTTATATATCGGAAATATATGAGGAGATCGTGGACCATTTGAATGATGCCAAGACACCAATTGTGGCCTTGTACAGCATTTCCGATTCCTATTATCGAGTTATCATCTAGATGCTGTTTGTACAGTATCGTATCTTAGCTGTGTGATACTGTGACAAAATATCAATTTATTCTAACCAAGTTACGAATAAGTTTTTAAGTTAATTGAAATTATTTTGCAATAATTTTAAGATTAGAGTTCATTTACTCTGTACTCAGAGGCCGATTTATACTTATTTTTCAAACAGTTTATTTGTTTTAATATGAACAAAACTAGGAAAAGATGAATAAAATAATGGATCCTTAGGAATTTTTTTTGTAATCCAAGTTCTTTCACGGCCTAGCCAAAAGATTTATTTAAATTAAAATATCTTTGGCGTATTAGTTATACATGAGTTCCAAATGCCAATGCAAATTTTGAAATTGTTTAATCTTAAGTTCCTGCGGATGCAATCATCCCCTTACAACGTACCAAATTTCTTAAACTATACATTCAAATGTATGCTAAGGAACAACTACAGATAGCTTGTATTTAAGTTGATTTGTTTACTGTACATACACGAAATTTGTAACTTAAAATATAATCGCATGTTAACAACAGATTAATAACATTCTAAACTGTACAACACTACGAGAAGCAGCAGTGCCAACTTCGTGCAAGCTCAAGAGCTGGTTTCCCCGGATGCCGCCTTGTTCAGACTGCGTGCAATGCCTACGGCGGGGCCCTGCAGCACTTTGCGCGAGAGCCGCATAAAGCCGGACACGGGATCTCGGCCAAAGTACTTGACCTGTATTTCCTGGCCTACCTCCAAACCTAACGCCGACGGATGCGCAATCTTTCGCTGATCCAGCTGCGAGTTGTGCAGCAGTGCGGGGGGCATGCCGGGATACAATATAACCATGACGCCTGTATCCCGCAGCTCGGTGATTTTGGCAGTGTAAATTCCACCGAACTCCAAATCCGGTACGCGTTCCTTGTGCATGTAGCCTTCGATCATCTCCTTGGCTTCATCCATCGCCGCTTGGGACGGAGCAAAAACAGAAAAGTTGCTGTCGTCGGAAGGTGTCAGGGTGGTGCCCGTTTCGAGGTAGATGCGCTTCATGTGCAGCCCGCTGGGTCCAATCAGCTGGGAGCGTTGATGTGGCTCGACAACGAGATTTTCACTGACTGGCCAGCAATCCTTGCGGTATTTACTTCAGAAAATGGAAACCAAAGGTTAGAGAAGAGACAATCAATATGGTGGTGCACTTACCGTGGCTCCCTGATGGTTTCGCCCATGATATCTAGTATTTTGGACTTGGCATCTGTGGCCTTTTGCAGCGATTCCATAACGACCTTAAGCGGTATACCAGGTATCTTCAGATCCGCTTGAATGGCAGTGAACCCTTTGCGTGTGCCCGCCACTTTCATGTCCATGTCGCCCATGTAGTCTTCAATGCCCAGTATGTCGGTCAAAATGCGATAGTCCTGCAGATGCTTCGTGTCATTGTTCTCATACTTGGTGACCAAGCCGATGGCCACACCGGCAGCAGGCGCAGTGATCGGTACACCGGCATCCATTAGCGCTAGCGAGCCGCCGCACACGCTAGCCATGCTGCTAGACCCATTCGACTCCAGCACTTCTGACGTCAGGCGAACTGTGAACGGATAATCATTTGGCAACGTGGGCAACAAGGAACGTTCAGCTAGAGCACCATGACCGAGCTCTCGGCGTCCAAGTGGACCAATTCGGCCCACCTCGCCAGTGGCATATGGAGGGAACTCGTAGTGGAGCATGAAGTTTTTCGCCTTCAGTCCGCCGCTGTCCAGCGCCGCCAACGAGTCCAGCTTCATGGCACTCTCTGGCGAGTCGAGGCTGACAGTGCAGAAGACCTGCGTTTGGCCACGTTGAAATAGGGCGGAGCCATGCAACGGTTTGTACATGTCCACCTGGCAGTTTATGTTGCGCAGGCTGTCGTAGTCCCGGCCATCGCATCGTCGATTGCTCTCGAAGATCAATTCTCGGAAGATCTCTCGACACGCCTTGTTAAACTCCTCTCCGATGGCGGCGGGATCTAGGTCTGGATAGGAGGACCACACCTTGTCAATGACATTGGCACGCACCTCGTTGACGGCGGTATCGCGCGAGATTTTGTCATGTGACGCATCCTGGAAGATTTCTCGGAGCCGCATCTCGCACATGCTCTTCACAGCTTGCACTAGCTCTGCCTGTGGCTCGGGCAGTTCATCAACTTCACGTTTATGTCGTCCATAGGCCTTCTGGAGTCGTTCGATCTCATGTATTATGAACTGCGCCTCACGCGTGCCTTGCTTGATGGCTTTCAGCAGATCCTGCATCAGAACTACGTTGCCCTTGCCCTCCAGCATGACCACCAGATTCTGCTTGGTCGCCGACACCACTAAATCCAGTTGGGAAGATTGTAGTTCACGTCTTGTCGGATTAATCAGCACCTCGCCATCACTGAGGCCAACTCTGATAGGGTCACATAGCGAATTCAATTAGAATTATCTTTATATCAAGTAATTCCACAACTCCTTACCGCACAGCGCCTATGGGCCCATTCCAGGGTATGTCGCTTAATGAGAGCGCCATGGATGCCGCATTAATAGCCAGCACGTCGGGTAAGTGTACCGCGTCCATGGCTAGCATGTTGCACACCAGTTGCGTTTCATTGCGATAATCCTTGGCAAAGAGAGGGCGCAACGAACGATCTATGAGACGCGCCGACAGAATCTCCTTCTCCGATGGTCCCAACTCGCGGCGCATAAAATTCATCGGTATGCGGCCAGAGGCAGCGTTTTTCAGTCGATAGTCGACCACGAGGGGCATGAAATTCTGTCCAGGCGTTGGCTTCGCTTTGGCTACGGCAGTGACCATAACCGCTGTGTCGCCCATTTGACAAACTGCAGTGCCATTGGCAAAACGCGCTAGCTTGCCCGAGCTAATGGTCATTTTACGCCTGACGAAGGGATTTATTATGAAATTAAGTACTTATTTTCGAATGGTTTGCACAGAGCCTTACCCATTGCTAAAACTGACCTCCACGGCGGGCACATCGTTGTTAATGTTGCTTTGTAGGCAACGTCGGTTTATTAAACGCACTCCAGCATTGCATCTCAAGCGGTAGTTGAGCAATTTTAAAACTTTTCTCGTAAAAATCATGGCTCAAAGCGCCCGAGTTATCTAAAATTTGCCGGTTATCTGCGGCTAGAACGAACCTCGTGTAACCTTCGCGTGAAAAAGTTTAATTTATCAACAAAGTATTTAACTACTATTAGGAGGTACAAGAACCGGTTTTAAAAAATAAATAAAACTTAATTGTCAACTTTTCTTCATATTAATAATAAAAATATGTTATTTCCTAATTATTGCTAACACTTGTGACGTCACACAAATAAAGTTACGAAAGCAATCGAATGTAAATGTCTAACAGAATAATTATTTCGGCTTGCTTAAAAGACTTATCGAAATGCAACCATGTTGCCAAAACAGTCTGTTAATATTAGCAGAGTTCTGTAAGTTACACTATGTTAAACACTGCGACTGTTAATTAACAGCATTTGTGTTACGAACGGACGTGGGTGTATACCTCTTTTTGCTAGCGCGGACGTATAAATTATTTAAGAGTCTTGTTAATTAATACGCGTACGAGCCGCAACTAATTTAAATTGAACGTGCGTGCTGTGCAAGCCAATTAAATCAAGTGCTTTAAATTTTTGGCATTCTGTGCTCGATCGCCGCGCTCTTGCTCTTTCGTGTGTGTAAGTGTGAGTTTGCTGCGCGCAAGTAAAGTGTGCGTTTGTGTGTGCAAGTGCTTGTAAGTGTGCGTTTTGTTGGCCAAAAGCAAAAAGCAAAGAGAGCCGCTATAACAGCAGCAGCAGCAACAAAATAAGAAAAACCAAAATCGACAAATGCGGTCAAATTGAAAAGAAAAACAACAAATATAGTATTGGTGTCGGACAACAACAGCGCCAGCAGCAGCAGCAACAACAACAGAAAACAGTGGCAAAGGCAGAGGCAGAAACAGAAGCATAAGCATAAGCAGAAGCAGAAGCAGAAGCAAAGCAAAGGAAAGCAAAAGCAATCCAAAAAAGCAAACGCAAAACTTGCCGAGAAAGCGTGCCGCCTGTGTCGACGTCAACTTAGACGCCGCAACCGCTGTCGCTGCCGCTACCGGTGACGCCGTCGCGTGTGTGAAAAGCCGGAAAATTGTTCCGATAGGCGCTCTCGTTACAAATACCCTTTCCAGTCGCATTGCTTTAATTTGTTTATGCTCAGCTACAGCTGCTTCTATCGCTGCCGCTTCCGAAATTGCGCCTGTTCTGCGGATTGGACGATTTGCTTTATCAACGGCGCCCCGTTATCAGTCACATTCTGATTCCAAATACCAAAGCACGTACTAAAACCTAAACACAAGCTGCTGCCTCAACGGAAACAACAACAAAATTAAGAGCCCAAAGCAAATACAAGGTAAAACCTGCTAACCTGCCCAACCCAGTCAACAACCTTAACGCCCCCTTCTCAAATAAATGAATAAAAGAACAAGCAGCAGCACCGATTGCAACGGCTGCACCCGGCTGCCCAATGCACTGTTCCCGTTGTAAGTGCCATTAAAGTGTGTCCAAAAATAAATTTTCCTGTCAGTTCTTGTGGAATCTGTTTCCTGGCTATGCGATTAATGGATTACACAATAATCTTGATCTAATATAAGTCCCAGTCCCATGTATCGTGCTTCAACAGTGTGTGCATGCATTCAAAACCTATATACTTCGATTAAGCTCATTAACAGAGTATCATCAATTCAGCTGCACCCATTTAGCTGCCGCCTTTTAATTGTCACACCTCATTAGCTCGCCTGGCAGCAGCGCCTGCTGCATAAGTGCTTTAAAGTATTTACTGTAATTTACACGCCGTCTGTCCCGCTCTGTCCCGCTCTGCCCCAGCTGCCCCGACGATGGACAACGCAATTTCATTAAGTTAATCGATGCCCCTTTGATGCTGCTGTTGCACAGGCATTGAGTGCTTTATGGCCTGCCACAGCTACAGCCGCAGCCACAGCCACAGCCACATCGACTCGCTTGCGCCATCGCCAGCTTTGCTCTCGTCGTCGAGAGTGAAAGCATCCGCGTCATTGTCTTGGTCATTCTTATCACTGCTGTTGCTCGTGCTATCTGCAGGGCCTCTCCAACCAACCTCTGCGCTTGCCTCAAAAATACAAAAAAATAAAATAATAAAATATGAACAAAACTGAAACTCATTATGCTATGCGCACTTCCGGTCTGCTGTCTTCTGTCTGCCGTCCGCCGTCTGCCGTCTGCTGTCTGCTGTTTGTTCTCAACTTTGTCATTGTCTTGTCTATTTGCGTGAGCTAATCGAAGTCGGTTTCATTTTATATTTATTGTATGTTTGTTCTGTTATGCATTTGACATACTATTGATTTCCCATTAATAATTTATATACAGTGAAAGCGCTCATGACCGACCGCAAATGATAGTTTCCACTATGGAAGTAAAACAGAAATCCCAAAATTCTATCCTTCAATATACATACATATATGAATTTTGGTTAATATTTGAGTTTGGCATTTGTTCTGTTCATTAGTTGGTGCTCTCACTGTACGACATGTTGACTGCGTCAGTGGCTGCTGATAACAGCGATTTAAATATAAATGACCCTTAGAGAAAAAATTATATATCATATTCATCATATTCAGTGCTTTATCTTTGCGAAATTGCTTGAACAGCTCGCGCGAAGTGCTCGATATTTATGTAGTTATTTGCCATGGCGTTGTTGCTGTTTCGTTATCTTCTTTGCATTTGCTCATGCTGTTGTTGTTGTTGCTGTTGCCGTTGCTGCTGCCTTTGTATTTTGTTGTATGTCATTGTAAGTGACACTGATTGCCGATTGCCAGACGGGCTGCATAATTAGACAGCGCTTAGCATTCGCTGATAGCGTCGGCCGCTTCCGCTCCATCACTCATCGGCAGCGTTCGATGTTCCGTTTTCAATTTGAGAAGCCAACTGCGACCCGCACTTGCCCGTTGGCCGAGCCGGGCCAAGACTCGGCCAAGAGCGTTGGCCACATGTGGTGCTGATGGCAGAGGGCCGACGTCATGCTTTTGTTATTGCCATTAGACGGGATCCTAGGCCAGAGTCGGAGTATTTTTGTGGCACCATAAAAAGCATTCGAGTGCCGTGGGTTTGCGTCACAGACTCAGGACGGGCACAGAACTGAACACAAAGCCGAAGGAGTACATGATGTGTATATTGTCTGACTGCAAAGACAATAAACCATCAATGAGCAGGACTAGCCGAAGGACCAAACCCCAAAGCAAATAAAACTCAATCGAATATTATTATCAACAATGCCGGCGACGCGCCCCACAATTGGAGTCCCGAACCCATTCGCATGTCGGACTTGGGCCCTAGCAATTGGGGATTGGCCACATGCTGCTCATCGTTTGCACGCGTCGTGGCGCTATTGAACTTAACACGAACCCAGTCTGCTTTCCGGCTTACCCATTTTCCGTTCCCTATCCAATTGCCGTTCCCCCTTGCCCCTTGCCCCTTTCCCTTGCCCATTACCGTTTCCAATCCCAGGCTCGTTTTCGTCATTGGCTTTGGCTCTAATTTGGCGCGACTCTGACACTTGTTAGCCAATATGTTTTCAGCCATGTTAATGGCCAAACGGAATTGATATTAATTGCCGCACGCCCACGCACATTGATGGCGGTGGGCGTGGCAGCGGACAACAGACACGCTAAGCGTTCGTCCATTAGCCAGCCACAAAAATCGCATGAAAATCAGCTTAACTCATTTTTGCGGCACCAACTAGAAAACCGAAAAAGAAGGCAACGGCTTATCAGCTTAGCTTCTATTGCATTGTGGTCGACTCTTTAATACCCTTTCCCTGCAGCTCTTTAATTTGCTGTTGTTGTCATAAAGGACGCTAATCCTTGAATGGATATACAATTGCAGTTACCTGAAACTCTTCACACACACACACACACATTATTGGCTTACAACTTTAATTGTGTGTGTGTGTGTGTGTGTGTGTGATGGAGTGTCTCACTGTGTGTTCTTTGTGTGCGTGTGTGTGTGTGTCTACACACTTAGCTGCTGGCTGTTGCCTGGGCAACGCATTGTGACTTCAATTCAATTAATCCTAGTTCTCGTACCGCGTGCAACCCCTGAGAAATTGATCTTATTACAATTTTTCTATGAGCCTCTGATTGAATTGGGCTGTGCTCGTGGATGAGGCGATGATTGTCGTCTCGTATCCATTTGCCGGGAACCATCTTGTATGTGCGCATTCATGTCCCAACAACTCAATTCAATTAGACTCGAGAACTTCCATTCGAAATGTGAGAAAACTTTATGCCCGACAATTGCCAAACGAAGAAGCAAGTACAAGTTGAACTTAAAGTTGATGAAGAGATGTACGCTAAATGCATGTGAAATGGCCAAAGGCGCTTTAAAATATCATTGATTGCCATAGACCAGAGTTACGTTAAAATTAACTAGACTTGCTCCATTGGAATTTCAAAGGTAGCTAATTTAACCTTTAAGCTGTGCCAGAGAGAACCAGACTTACCTAAATTAATTTGCTAAGTAATTGCAATTAAAATAATTGTATAATGCTTGCAAATACCAGATTTAAATTTGAAACAATTATAATTGAAATTCTTCGTCATATTGTCATCTTCCGGGAAATGCAGCTCTCCTGTTCAAGTTGAAGACTTTATCTGTGCATTGTGTGTTCGCAGAAATTCTCGAATCAGCAAACGGCCATAAATTGCCTTAAATTCCATTTAATCCCGTAAAGTAAACATTCTGACTGGCTAGATGAGGCTGTAGTCGGCCAACATTCGCCAGCTGATGAATTAATATTTAAGTAGCCATCTAGTTGAGTAGTTCTCATAAGAAGCGACTTAAGGACGCCTTGTGTTTCACTTAATTTCCTGTGCTCACGTCCTTGGCTACCTGCCACGTTTAGTCAGCCATCATTCTGATAAGAAATTTCAGCTAATCAAGCGGGTCCGGACTCCGGACGGAGGGGAGCGCAGCCGCCTACCGTAATGACCTTGATAAACTTTTGCGCTTCAGTCTGTCAGTGGGTTGCTTTGCTTTCTTAGGATGTGTTGCGTCTTGTTTGGCTTACGGCCATTCTCTTTCTTTCTTTCTTTTTTATTGTTATTGCTCACGACGTGTTTTTATTTTTTGAAAAACACTTTACATGCTTCCACGTAAGAGATACTCTACCTCCGCATGTTTACATA